ACCCCTTGTTCCACTTAGATACATATGTGCGAAATGCCTTTGCTAACAAACACTCCGTCCTAGCAGTCTTTTTTGTTCTTGAGAAGGCATATGACACCACTTGGAGGTATAACATTTTAGCCCAATCCTTAGGCCTCCACGGTAATCTACCAACCTTCCTTGCTGCTTTCTTACCTGACAGACACTTTCGTGTCCGTGTTGGCGCCTCGCTTTCCTCAGACTTCCTTCAAGCCAAGGGAGTCACACAAGGTTGTGTCCCTAGCACTACCCTATTTCTCTTAGCTATAAATGACCTACCTTCCGTTCTTCCATTGCATATTTGGTAGTCACTTTATGTGGATGACTATGCTATAACTTACTCAGGTGCTGACTGTCGCCTAGTAGCGACCTCCCTTTAGGAAGCGATTGATGGAGTTTCCCATTGGACCACTTTTCATAGCTTTAAATTTTCTAGTATGAAAACCCATTTCATTACCTTCACTAGACGTCCTCTTATCCTAGATATTCCATTATATTTACATGGCTCATGTATTCCAGAATGTGATACGGTCAAGTTTCTTGGCCTTCTCTTCGATCGCCAGTTGACACGGAAACCTCACATTTCCTCTTCGTGGGCAGCTTGCCATGGTTGGCTGTATCTCCTTAAAATTCTTGCGCATCATTCATGGGGAGCAGATTGCAGAACTCTCCTCTGTTTGCATTCCTCTGTAGTCTTGTCCAAGTTGGATTATGGTGACCAAGTCTATTCTGCTGCTTCTCCTACAACTCTTTCAAAGTTAGATCCCCTTCATCATCAGGGTCTATGTTTATGCCATGATGCCTTTCGTTCATCCCCTGTTGCGACTCCTGAATGAGTCACAATGTATATAATGTATGTTACCTGTTATATAATTTTATATTGCTGATATTTGCGATAGTAGCTAAATCGTAAATATATTGCTTTATATTATCATTTCACTTAGTTATATTTTTAGGTAGGATGTAACCTGTACACCTTATTCGGTGCTCATTGCTCGAGAGTGTTAAGTAGCTGACGGCATTGTCTAACTACTGTAACTATCACTCCGCTTGTTTCTCTGCCGGCTTCTCTGTAGTTGCTGGGCAGCAGCAGTCCACGGAGTCACGTGATCAGGGTGGGGTGATCACACCTCACCTGGGTGAGAGGACTGCCTTGCCTTGATGAGCCAGCTCTTTCTCTGGTTGACGTCCAACAAGACGTCCCTCTCCAGCTCTCCCTTACTGGCCCTTGTTGGAACATCATCTCTGTCACTCTGTTGTTGTTAGTTCTGTGTAACTCTGTTCACAGAGCAAAGCTTAGACTTAGTGATTTTCGATGTTGTACTGAGGTTGTGTGTCGCATTGACACTGAGAAACTCAGGTCTTGAGTTGTAGCTTCTGACCTAATATGTACTGGTATCTGTGCATCATTACAGTCGGGGATTTTCTTATGCTGAACTTTGATTCAGTAGTATGGGAATTCTGTGACTTTTGTGGAGGATCTGCAGATGGTCCCTACTTAGGGTCGTTATGTTATCTCCTTGTTCCTGATTCTGTGTTGCTGCTGCTTATTATATTGCTGTTCAGCGAATCGGTCGTTTTACTGTTCAAGCAGGCTGTTCTGATTGCCAGGTTGGTCAAGAAGTTAGTTTATGTGAGGACTTTTAGTCAGTCACTGGCTAAGTCTAGCCAAGTCTTGAGACATAGCGAACTACTTAAAGCACTTACACACATACTCACTTGTATACATTAGTATTATGTTCTTAAATGCTGACAGTGTACTAGATGGTACTTAAAAGCCATGATGATATGATATGTGCCTTCAGCACAATACTACTGCATAAGAACTTGTAACCTATATTATGTTAAATTGATTACTTTGATTTACTTTGATATTGTCCCCTAGACAACTTTATCTTTATTAATAAACTTCTTAAATTTTAATTTCTTTAGTAGCCGACCAGTTGTAATCCTGAAGCACTACTGAATCTTACTATTAAATTCTAATGGACCAGGATACTGACTACTTGTTACAAAAACCCAGTAACAGGCTGGATGCTAGAAGGGCAGTTCTTTCTAGTATTCACTGGAGATCTCTATCATTATTAGATATCGCGTTTTTTGTAACATCCCCTGTTGAAAGCTTCTGTGCAGAGGTGAATGTTCTTTCCTTAGCTGATCGTCGTGATGCTCATTGTCTTCGTTACTTTGTGCTCATGACCTTCGTGTTTCTTCTACATACAGGTTGGTCTCAGATGTTAGTAGAAGCCTATTGTTTGTTCGGTTCCCCTGCCTACTCCGACCATTTTCTCTTCATCTTCACTCACTCTGGTCTTCTCTCCAGTTGCTTCCCTTGTATGTTCAATTAGCATCTACCTTTCCCTTATCCCCTTGGGAAGTTCCAACAGTTCGTGTCTGTTCTCCTCTACTACCATGCGCCAAAGCTCTCCTGCCTACGACTGCTTCTCGCTCTCTTTTTCTCGATCACTTCCGGCCTCATGCTCATGCTGTCGCTGTTTATACAGATGGTTCTAAATCTTCTGATGGTGTTGGGTTTGCAGCGGTGTTCCCTGACGATGATGACCGAGGTCATTTGTTAGACTCGGCTAGTATTTTTACTGCCAAGTAGTATGCCATCCTCATAGTGCTTCTTCATATTACATATATATATCTCCTTTGACATTTGTGATTATTCAGTTCCCTCAGTGCTTTACAAACCATTAAACAATTTGATTCCCCTCATCCATTAGTTCTTCGTATTCAGCTATGTTTGCGCCGTGTGGCTAGCAAAAACAAAGACATTGTAAACCATACCCCGGCCGGGATTGAACCCGCGGTCAGAGAGTCTCAAAACTCCAGACCGTCGCGTTAGTGGCTAACGTGACGGTCTGGAGTTTTGAGACTCAAAGACGTTGTTTTCTGTTGGATCCCTGGACAAGTTGATGTGCAGGGCAATGAACAAGCGGATGCTGTTGTGTGGTCAGTGGTGCATGATCTTCTCGTTTCCTATAGAGATATTCCGTTCAGAGATTATTTTACAGTCATCTCTACCCGTCTTTACGGCCGTTAGCAACAACGATGGTTAGACATGGACTTTAATAAATTGCACTCTATTAAACCTCTTTTAGGTCTGTGGCCATCTTCTTACCACAATTGCCGTTCTCGGGAGACTGCGCTCTCCCGGCTCCACACTGGCCATACTTACCTTACCCATAGGTATCTCATGAAACAGCACCCTATTCCTCTCTGTGAGGTTTTTCAAGTCCCTATGTCGGTTCTTCGCTTTCTTGTCAATTGCCTGGTTTACCAGTGAGCTCACAGGATTTACCTCCAACGACGCCACTGCCCTTTGTCACTGACTTTTTGTCAGCAACTGCTTTACAAATTTTAACACATAGCCCTTAGCGTCCCTTCCATTATTATTATTATAATCAAGAAGAAGCGCTAAATCACAAGGGCTATACAGCGAGCGTCCCTTCTAGCCCTTCTCTTTCCTCACCTCTGATCCCCTTTCCACCTAGCTGTTTATAGTCTCAGCGCTATTTTCTGCCCCGCAGCACTGTATGACCCTTGTCAGTTTAGCTCTTTCTTTGATTATAATAATAATCAAAACACACTATAGCATCCACTTCCAAATCACAAAAAGCAGCATAAAAAACGAGCTGGTAATTGTATTTCTACGAACAATAAAAACAGAAATAGACATATATCAGTGGCGTTATTGCCCAAAAAAGGAAATTCACCAGTGTAGAGGAAAGAAATACCTGGGTTCACTTCAACAGAGAGTGAAAGATTGTTCAGCTCTGGAGAAATCTTAACTCTTCTCACAGCAGAAGATTAACTTCCCAGAATGGGTAAATGTTGATAGTTTGTAGATGAATGGTTCAGAGAACCGACATGTCGGTTCTCTGAACCATTCATCTACAAACCTGTCAGACACTGCATCTTCTTGGGATCTTAATACTTAGGAATTCTTCGCTTGCCTAATTCTTGGGCACAACCTACTTCCACATTGAACAAATGTGACACTACCTATGACTGCTACACCTCTCCTGCCATACGGTTTATAAGCTGCTTCTCCGCTCATCTGCCGTATTCTACTCAAGATTGATGGACTGAACACATCGACTCAAGGTTGAGGGACTGATTACCTCATTCTCCTCCTGTTCTTCAAGTTTCTCCTATGTATGGACTGATGAAGCCACTGTGTGGCGAAACGTTTCCTCAATAAAGATACCCAAGAGTTGCACATGTGTCTAATTTATCAAATGTTGATAGTCCTCAACTTCAAATTGAGCATCAGTAATTTTAGCTGTTAGAGTAATGTTTGCATGCATAGTGTTTAGTTTCAGTGTACTACAATAAGGTATGTTTTCTTATTCTATTTTACAATGTTTTTCATCAAAGTTTTAAAAACACTTTAAACTGTATAAAGTAAATGTGTGACTTAATTTAGTTTGATAATGGAGAAGTTGCTCAAGTTCTTAACTGTTATTTTAGATTTTCAATTCCCAGTTATTAAAATAGTTTCATGTTTAAGATGCCTGGAAATTATCCAGATATTTATTTTTGTAACAGATTTCTGGTTATGTCTTCTGATTAATTAATATATAGAGATTTTTTTTTATTTGTATGAATGCTTGTGTTTAGTATTAGGTAATAACATTGTCCTCTTAGAGAAATAAATTATTCCATATTCAACCTCACTTGGTTATTTGATACCCATTGATCAGTCAGTATTTCCTTATTTATTGAACATAGTTATCATTATTAAAAAAATAGGAAAAGTATCGGTATCGGCTGAAAACTGGGTATCAGTATTAATTAGGTTAGGTAAGATTCGGTAGCAGCTACAATTCTGATATGTCCGTCTCTAAAAATTATAGATAATGTATATAAAGTAGGTTCATAACATCTCAGTTCAGTAATGACTTGGAGTGCTGACATCTTGTAAGTGGTAATGAAGTGATGGTGGAGCTTACAGGTGTTTTATCCTGGTACAGGGATCAGCTGGAGGAGTTCACTGGTCTTCTGAGTGGTGATGGAGTGGCACTGCTGCCCCCTAGCTTGAAGCAACTCCGCCTGGCTGTTGTTAGTGACGACCATGCTTGCCATTTTCTGTCACTGCTACATGCTGCTATATCCTCCTCACTACCTAGACTTACACAGCTGAGTGAGTGACTTACTGTGTTACTTCTAGTATTGTACAGAGTGCTCATGGTGTTATCATGGTGTGCTGTGTTATATATGTAAATGTATGTGTTAGTGTTACTGGTGGTGCTAGAAGTGCGCCGTGTCCTGTCTATTACTGTGCAGTTGTGTAATGTTAATTCTTTAAATTGTGCGATAGTGTTACTGGTGGTACAAGCGTCCTGTTTCTTACTGTTTCTTAAACAAACCATACCACGGGAGGGGATAGAGCCCGCGATCAGAGCGTCTCAAAACTCCAGACCGTCGCGTTAGCCACTGGACCAGCTAGCCACAATAAGATTCGTCCAACTAGGTATATTTCTACACCATAGGAAGGTTAGCATAGGTACCAATGTGACCACAAATGCAAGTTTTTACAGACGAATCTCCAGCTAGCGTGGCCGTGACGAACTCTAGCTCAAGTACCCTAAAAGCCGTTAACATGACTCACGAAATCGTAATGACACAATTGCAAACAAACCATACCACGGGCGGGGATAGAACCCGCGATCAGAGAGTTAGCATAGACACAGTGGTGCCTATGCTAACCTTCCTATGGTGTAGAAATATACCTAGTTGGACGAATCTTATTGTGGCTAGCTGGTCTAGTAGCTAACGTGACGGTCTGGAGTTTTGAGACTCTCTGACCGCGGGTTCAATCCCGCCCGTGGTATGGTTTGTTTGCAATCGTGTCATTACGATTTCGTGAGTCAAGTTCTGTTTCTTAATGTTGTTGACAGAAGTGCGTCGTGTTGTGGCTCTTATTATGTTATGATACAAATGTTGGTAGTATAAACTTGATAATTGATACTGACCAGGGGGGTTAAAAAAGAACCTTGATCACTTTACTTCAGAAGTAATCAAGGTCGCAGGACCGAAACGTCTTCAAATAAATATGTCCCAATGTTTACTCACATCTCTTTTTAAATAACTGGTGGTCTTACCGATAATAATAATAATAATAATAATAATAATAATAATAATAATAATAATAATAATAATTAATAATAATGATAATAATAATAATCTTTATTTCTACAAGTAACCTGTAATTGTTTTACATGATGGTAGGATTGCTGGTGTCTTTTATCTGTCTTATAAACATGCAAGATTTCAGGTACGTCTTGCTACTTCTACTTACACTTAGGTCACACTACACATACATGTACAAGCATATATATACACACCCCTCTGGGTATTCTTCTATTTTCTTTCTAGTTCTTGTTCTTGTTTATTTCCTCTTATCCCCATGGGGAAGTGGAACAGAATTCTTCCTCCGTAAGCCATGCGTGTTGTAAGAGGCGACTAAAATGCCGGGAGCAAGGGGCTAGTAACCCATTCTCCCGTATAAATTACAAAATTTAAAAGAGAAACTTTCGTTTTTCTTTTTGGGCCACCCTGCCTCGGTGGGATACGGCCGGTGTGTTGAAAGAAGGAATTTCTACAAGTACATGTACAAGGTATACAGACCATTGGTGACATCAGTGACATACTACTATATATAAAGCCACTTGTTATGCTGAGCATTTCCCGCAAATTAGGTCAGTTTTGTCCCATGATGCGACCCTAACCAGTCGACTAACACCCAGGTACCTACTTACTGCTAGGTGAACAGGGATAACAAGAATCTTAAGGAAACACGTTCTAATGTTTAAATCCATACTGGGGATCGAACCACGGACCTCAGTGTGTGAGTTGAGTGCGCTACTAACCCAGCTAAAGGTCACCCGTACAGGTTTAGTTTTAGTTTATAGCTAATATTAACGTTGTGATGATCACGATATTGGTGTGATGATCATGGTGCTGGTGTGATCATGTTGTTGGTGTGATCATGTTGTTGATGGGATCATGGTCTGATGATCATGATGTTGGCATGATCATGGTGTGATGATCATGATGCTGGTGTGATCATGTTGTTCGTGTGATCATAGTGTGATAATCATGGTGTGATGATCATGATGTTGGTGTGATCATGGTGTGATGATCATGATGTTAGTGTGATCATGGTGTGATGATCATGATGTTAGTGTGATCATGGTGTGATGATCATGATGTTAGTTTGATCATGGTGTGATGATCATGATGTTAGTGTGATCATGGTGTGATCATGATGTTAGTGTGATCATGGTGTGATGATCATGATGTTAGTGTGATCATGGTGTGATGATCATGATGTTAGTTTGATCATGGTGTGATGATCATGATGTTAGTGTGATCATGGTGTGATCATGATGTTAGTGTGATCATGGTGTGATGATCATGATTTTAGTGTGATCATGGTGTGATTATCATGATGTTGGTGTGATCATGGTGCTGGTATGATGATCATGATGTTGGTGTGATCATGGTGCTGGTATGATGATCATGATGTTGGTGTGATCATGTTGTTGGTGTGATCATGGTGCTGACGTGATGTGACATGTTAGGTGGTGATATTTTTGTGTTATTACAGCTTATAACGTATCACCTGAAGTATCAGCAGCATCAGTGAAAACTGACGAGTCACTACCCAGCAGAGTGAAGGTTCATCTCCGCATGAAAGATATGACCAACGATGCTGTGAGTCGTGTGTGTGACCTGGCCCAGGAGCTGCAACCCCCAGATGGGTATGTCTCTAAGTATTTTTTACTCAGTGAAAAATATATACTTGTACGTTTAAAGCAGTCATTGAAACAAACTGATAAGACTTTATAGCTTTTCGAATACTGTTACTTATGTTTTAATTTATTTTTGTTAATTGTCTTCATCAGTATATTTTTGTGAGTTATGCTTCAATGGATATATTTTTGTGAATTAACTATTAGAAAATATTTTGAATTCTTTCAACAAATGCAGCAACCTGGTCAAACTATTCTTAAAATCTTTATTCTTTCGGCAAACACCCAAACCACGGAAGAATAAGCTCCAATTCCTTTGCTCAAGAGCCCCTCACCGGAATCAACACATCTCCCTAGAGAGGTTGATCTCTAGCTTCTGAATATTTTTGGGAAGGTGAAGTTATTCCTCTTAGATATCTCTGGGAAATATCACTTAAATTTCCTAGAACCGTTACAGCCTTCCCCCATTTGGGGGGCAGGGGATTGAGACGATGCCTAAGAGAGGTGCCAATTCTGTACATACACTTAAATTCTAAGAATTAGCCTGTTAACTCCTTAGGCTAATTATGCTCTATAATTACTACTTATTATTACATTTATTTAGACTAAGTTAACGTTAGTCGTTTAGCGTAACGTAGTAATTACAATACCCATTCAATTAATATGCCGTAGGCAGTGTTTCTGCTCATTCTGCCCAGAAGCAACCTACACAACATCCGCTTCCTTTGTGTATCTGGTTTACGAATACACAGTGGACCAAATTCTTTTTCTTGCACCTGAAATCTCCTTCTGACTATCTTTCAGGCCTTGTTATTATTATTATTATTATTAATATTATTATTATTATTATTATTATTATTATTATTATTATTATTATTATTATTATAGTATCGGTAAAGCTCTCGTGCGACATGTTGGTGTATGCATCATTACAGTTCAGAACACGAGCCAGGCTCATGACCTTTCCCTTCTTACTTCTATTGATAACGTTTTTATCACAGTTCACAAGCACACTACTCACAATTCTTGCAGTGGTAAGGTGATCTTACCACATACCATTGTACAGTGTGAGTTTCTGTCTTGCGATGACGATATTTTAGAGCAATTAGCCCTCCAGGACATTTCGATTCTCAAAGTGGATACATATGTCCTGCTCGCCTGTGGGCGGAGGCGCTTCCCCAATAACGTCGCCCAGTCCTCCATTAATATTGCAGGACATTGCCTATGGGCCCCAACAGTGTTGAAATTGTTGGCGCTTCGGCCACCCAGCTAAATACTGTAGGTCTGTGGCAGAGTGTCCCAGTCTGCAGTTCCGCAGATCATGCCGATACATCTTGCACACTTCCCCCCCCCCCCCACTTGTCTTAATTGCAATGAAGCTCACCCTTCTTATTCTCACCGATGTCAGGTCTGTCTTAATGAATGAGAAATTCGTTGTCTTAAGGAGAGCGAAGGCCTTATGCTATGGGTGTCTGTCGGCTCTGCCTTCAGTGGAATATTCCTTGTGTTCTTTGTTCTCGAGTGACTAGGAGACCTTGGCTGTCCCTCTGCCTACCAAATCCTTCGGTGCCCTGTCTTCCGCGGCTACCCACGTCTCTAATTCTTTTGCGGTTTTGCCCTCTGAAGCCACCACCTCCCTACCTCTTACTACCTCCATTTCTTCATCATTTCTCCCGCTAACTTTTAAGTCTACCAGACCTCGCACGCCTGCACCTTCTTCGCGCCTCTCAACTAAGCCCAAGTTTCATTGCATTCCTCCGGTACTTATAATTCCCTACAGCTCTCCTTTTTGGCCTTGGAGCTCGGTTCTCACCCCCACTCTAGCTCTCACACGAAAGGGGAGGTCATCTTCTCCCTCATGTAGTCCCCTCTTCTCCTGTTCCCTCCCAGGCTTCTTCTCCAATCCCCTTCCAGACTCCCTCCTCTCCTGTTTCCCCACAGGTCTCTTCTTTTTTTGTCCCCGCCTCACATCTCCCCAGGTTCATACTCTCCTCATCTTTCAGACTTCTTTGGTACCTCCATTGCCTCCCTGATTTCTACTCGCTCTCCCTCACCTGTCTCTGAAGTCATGGCATCGGCGTCGTCCTTGTCCGCTGAAACACTTGAATCTATCTCCGAATATATTGCAGAAACGAAACCCTTGATGGACACTGATGTGCCCCCTCATGTCCCTTCTTTTTTCACTACCTTTGCAGCAATCTTTTCCTTCACAGTATTTTAATACTTCCCTGTTTACTCGCTTTCCATTGCCTCTATGCATTGATTTCACTGATCTTACTAGCCCATAAATTTTTATCGCTTCTCTTTGTTGGAATACGTATTTTTGTGAATAATGACTTATTTACAATGGAATGTTCATGGCCTCAGGGGTAATTGGGGAGAGTTCCAGGTACTGCTCTCACAGTTTTTCCTCCAGTGTGTGTTGGGTTACAAGAGCCTACAGTTCATTCTGCCGTTATTTGTCCCGTTTCAGGCTATGTGCTGTTGCATTCTTCTGATCCCCCTCCTGATAAAACTTTTATTGAGTGCTCTTCTTGTGCATGTTGGAATACCATTTCAAAAGATCTTTGTTCAATCTTTGCTGCATTACACTGCAGCCTGTATCTATTTGCACAGGTGGTATAAAGTTTGATTTCTATATCTCCTTCTCATGCATTATGCATCTTGGATGTTGCATTCTTGATCTCTTCTCTGCCACCACCCATCTTGTTAGGTGATTTTAACGTTCATCAGTATCTTTGGGGAGGGTCCTACTGTGACTCTTGTGGTGATCAGTTGGAGACTCTTTCCATTTCTCATTCTCTTCATGTTTTAATATTAGTGCTCCCACCCCTCCTTGTCAGTTGCATTTGATTACGCTTGGTCTGTTCTGCATTTGCGCAACAGTGATCACTTTCCTATTCTACTACACATTCCTGACCTCCTTGTAACCTTCGTTGGCCATTTGGACAAGCGAATTGGGGCTTATACTCTTGCCTTCTTGCCTTACCGCTTTTTGTGTGGACCCTTCTTTGTCCTCTACTGATGAGCTGGTACATCAGTTTTCGACCTTTTGACTGCATCACGTTCTATTTCTCAAACCTCAAGCAGGCATTCTCAGGCATGCGTGACTTGGTGGTCTCCTGCGTGTGCCCATGTAGTGCACTCGAAACTTGCTGCGTGGGGCCGTTATCGATATAATCAGATGCAGATCGTCTCCTGGATTTTAAGCGGGCAAGGGCAGTCGCTCTCCATGTAATACGCAATGCTAAACACAGTTGTTGGCAAGACTGTGTTTCTACCGTTACCTCGACTTCCCCTATGAGTAGGGTTTGGAAGAGGGTATGGAAGTCATGTGGTAAGTTCGCTCCAGACTCAGCTCCCGTTTTGTGAGCTGCTGGTGTCAGTGTTACGGCTTGAGGTTGCTAAACCTGATGGTATTCATATCTGTATGCTACAGCATCTGCATTCTACAGCCCATACAGTTCTTGTCCATCTTGTTTGGACGCAAGGGGCTCTCCCTCAACGATGGAAATCTGCCATTGTACTGCCGTTTCGCAAACAGGGGCATGATACCTCTCACTATCGTCCCATTGCTCTCACTAGTGCAGTTTGCAAGGTGATTGAACGATTGGTGAATAGACATCTGATGTCATATTTGGAGACTCACAATGGTCTTTCTCCTCGCCAATATGGCTGTCGCAAGGGCCACTCTACTCTGGACCCCTTGCTCCACTTAGATACATGTGTGCAAAATGCCTTTGCTAATAACTGCTGTGGCAGTCTTTTTTAATCTCAAGAAGGCATATTAGACCGCTTGGAGGTATAACATCTCAGCCCATGCCCCACTGCTTAGAGCTCCGTGGTAATCTGCCGTCCTTCCTTCCTGCTTTCTTATCTGAAAGACATTTTCGTTTTCGTGTTGGTCACTCGTTATCCCCAGACTTTGTTCAGGCCGAGGGAGTCCCACAAGGTTGTGTCCTTAGCACTACCCTTTTTCTCTTGGCTATAAATGATCTACCATCCGCTCTTCCATCAAATATTTGGTCATCGCTCTATGTGGCTTACGCAGGCGCCGACTGTCTCTTGGTAGTGGCCTCTCTTCAGGATGCGGTGACCGTGTTTCCCATTGGGCTACTTCTCATGGATTTAAATTTTCTGGTGCCAAAACCCATTTCATTACTTTCACTAGACGTCCTCTTGTCCCAGTTATTCTATTGTACTTGTACAGCTTGCATATCACCGAATGTGATACGGTCAGGTTTCTTGGCCTTCTGTTTGATTGCTTGTTGACGTGGAAACCTTACATTTCCTCTTTGAAAGCAGTTTGCCACGGTCGGCTGAATCTCCTTAAAATTCTTGCGCATCGTTCATGAGGGAGGCGGATCGCAGGATTCTCCTTCGTTTGCATCTTGTCGAAGCTGGATTATGGAGAACAAATCTATTGTGCAACTTCTCTTGTAAATCTCTCTAAGCTGGATCCCCATCATCATCAAGGTTTACGTTTATGCCATAGTGATTTTCGTTCATCCCCTGTTGAAAGCCTCTATGCTTAGGCGAATGTTCCTTACTTAGCCGATCGTCGTGACACTCATTGCCTTCGTTACTTTGTCTGCTCTCATGACCTTCACGTTCCTTCTACATATAGGTTGGTCTCCGACGTTAGTAGAGGTCCGTTATTTGATTGACGCCCTTGCTGACTCCATCCATTTTCTCTTCGTCTTCACTTGCTGCAGTCTTCTCTCCAGTTACCTCACTTGTATGTTCATGTACGGTCTGCCTTTTCCCTTTTCCCTTGGAAGGTTCTGATGGTTCGTGTCTGTTCTGCCTTACCGCCGTGCACTAAAGCCCTCATACCTATTGCTGCTTCCCGCTCTTTTTCTTGATAACTTCCGGTCTCATGCTTGTGCCGTCGCTGATTTTACAGAGGGTTTTTAATTCTTCTGACGGTGATGGGTTAGACTCAGCTGGTATGTTTACAGCCAAGCTGTACGCCATCCTCATAGCACTTCTCTATATTACATGTATGT